TGCTACTTCTGACCTTACTTGTCATGGATAGCTGATAGCTTGTCAGGCAGAGTTGTTGTCTGTCTTGCCACTTAGTGCAGAGTTTGGTTTGGATGTCAGTTCACCTAGCATGAAGGGGACTGAGATTAAGTGAGTAGTGATGGTCCCAAAGTATGTTCAGGTCACATCTCGGATCTTGGGATTTCCCTGCTTCTATCTTGGTTTTGTGATGTAAGAGTTGGGAATAGTTTCTTAAGTATTCTCAGAGTTGTTCAGTCAGAGAGAAGCAAGGCATAAAGCTGCACACTCCTTTGAGAATAATTTGGCTTTAGAGATAATGCAGTTATCTTAACTAGGTATCCATATTGTAACTCTGAAAACAAAAAAAATCTATTTTTCCATCCTGGTCATCAGCATTCAGATTACACTTAAAGAAAGTTTGAGTGGAGGTGTTTATCTACTTGTTTTCATAAGTCATGTATGTTGAGGTCTGATTTCTATACAGTAATAGTAACCCTTTTTAAATGTACAATTCTATGAATTTTGACAAAGGCATACAGTTGTGTAACCACAACTCTATTCAAAGCAGAGAACATTTTCATCATCCAAAATGTTTCCTTGTGCCCTGTGCAGTCAGTATCCTCCCACACACCCAGCCCCTAACAACCACTATGATGAGTATGTCTTCATAACTTTACTGAGATTCAAAAGAGCCTAGGTCTTGAAACTTTCTATGAAATATTAATTGCCATCTCCTGTATTTGTAAAGCATCATGAACTCATGCAAGATTCTGGGTTTTCAGCTGCTAAGAGGAATATCTGGAATAGCTGGGGAGCCTCAGCCCCTTTATCTGCCATTCATTAAGCAGCAGTCCCCTGTGCTGCTCTGCGGAGAAGCCACAAGCATATGCTATGGCTGAATACGAAAGTTCTCATACAGGTTCTCAGCTCTTACAGGAGCCATCATTTGGCTGGGAAAATATGACATATACAGTTATCTAGCAACAGGAGGCAGAAAGTCACAAAATATCACAAAGTAGTGTCACATTTGTTTTGGCTGAGCAGTGGAGACAGTGAGTGAGGGGCACTCAGAAGACAAAGAGGTCAGTATGTACTGGAATGGTCAGGAAGAGGCTCCAAAAAACAGGGCATTCTCAGTGTACCTAGTCTCAGTCTATTTTAAGTTGGGTTCTCTAGAGAAGCAAAACCAATGAAGCTCATAGAGAGGGAGGAAGAGACAGAAATTTATCTCAAGGAAATGGTTCACACAGTTGTAGAGGCTGGCAAGTCCCAAGTCCGTGCATCAGACATTAAACTGGAGGCGCCTCCTGACTCACACAGCTGCAGAGGCTGACAGACCCAAGATTAGCAGGCAGTACAGTAGGCTGTTGGCTCCGGAGGCTGACAAATCCAAGATCTGCAGGTAAAATGGCAAGTTTCTGGCTCACAGGCTATGAAGGCAACAATCCTTGACTGACTGATCTTTCTATACCCTCTTAAAGAGCTCTGGTGGCATAATGGTTAAGTGTTCAGCTGCTAACCAAAATGTCAGTGGTTTGAACCTACAGGTGCTCCACAAGAGAAAAATGTGGCAATTTATTTCCGTAAAGATTACAGACTTGGATCCCTTATGGGAGTAGTTCTGCTGTTTCCTATAGGGTCACTGCAAGTTGGAATCAACAGCACACAACAATAACAACATACCCTCATAGTACCTGGTAGTCTTGTGCAAAGCATATGTTAGTTGAGTAACTGAGTTGGGCATTTTGGTGAAAACAGTGCAGGAGAGAATTCCTGGTAAGAACAAAGGAATATAATTAGGAAGATGCTTGAGCTGCTGCCATTGTTGATAGTCAAAGCTACCATACTATCTCTTTATGGTGCAAAGAGAAGTGAGTTTTGGAGTGTTGGAAATTAAAGTGGTGTTGGTTTAAAAATTGATACAAGACCTTAATTGCATTTGGTATGCAAGCTATCACTAGTTTCACTCCCCTCCCTCTCTCTCCCCACCTTCCCTCACACATACACACACATACTTTGGTTTCTGTCTCCACTCATCCACTGCTTCTTAGGACAAGACAGGTCTAGGTATCAGTTCTAGTTTTCTGCTGTCTTATTTCACTGGGGAGAAGAGGCAGAAGGAACCTTGAGAGGGGCCGGTGTTGGCACTCGGTCCCTGTCTGGGGCATTGCATAACCTATGGTCTCATACTCAAATAAGATGGTCCAATGGATGAAATAAGACATTGGGAGTTGGCCTGCCATATATAACCTGCTTTCCTTTTCTTTAATTTCAACCTCTCCAGGGAAATCTAAATAGCATCTGATTCCCTTCCACTCTGTATTCTGTGACTCTGGATTCTTACCACATCCCCAAATCTCCCTTCCCAGCCTCCTGTGTGCCTTTCCTTTCTTAATTAGAGAGCCTATGAACTCCCATTGCCCTCTAAAACCTTCCCTGAGCAGAAGCCAGATTATATTCTCCCTGTGGTTTTAGCTTCCCTGGTCAGCCCCTTACTCATGGTGAGCCCATGATACAGAGTAGAGCTGTTCCATTAAGTTTTCTTGGCTATCCTCTTTGTTGAAGTAATCTACTAGCCTTTTTCTTCCATGGAGCCAATGGGTGGGTTCGAACCATCAACCTTTGGATTAGCAACTGATCACAAACTGCTTATTCCACCCATGCTCATCAGCCCCTAAAGAGCAATCAAAACAGGAGCTTTTTATATACCTGTCTACTATGGATAACTTTTCAAGGAGGTTGGAATGTTACCCCTTCCAGCCTAACCAGAACATGGTACAAATAAGCAAGAAGATACCAGGGAGCTAGAGCAGTGCACATAATCCAAGTTGTGTGACTTTGGGCAATCACACTACCTCTCAGTGCCTGAATTTCTTCATTTCTAGCAGCAGAATGATGCTTTCCCTGTCAGCCTTACAGGTGGAAATGTTAAAAGCACTTAAACAGATGTATGCTAGGTATGGATTATGGTGGTAAAGTGCTATGATGACCTTGGGAAAACATTGTGCCTTTTTATTATGTTCCCATGTATTTATTGCAATCAGTTTTCAGATATGTTTCATCGAATCAACTGCCAACAGCAGTATAATGTCAGTTCTTTTTAAAATTAGGGCAGGGCAATTGGGACATCAAATTAAAATGACAATAAGATACCACTACACACCTGTCACAACTACTAAAATTAAAAAAAAAAAAAAACAGTGACAACATTTAGATGCTGGAAAGAATGCAAAGAAACTGGATCATTCATACAGTACTGGTGGGAATGTAAAATGGTACAGCTACTCTGAGAGACAGGCACTTTCTTGTAAAACTAAACCTGCAATTACCATATGACCCAGCAATTGAATCCTTGGACATTATCCCAGAAGAATGGAAACCTATGTTCATGCAAAAATCTGTACAGTAATTTAAAAAAAAAAAAAAAAAAAAACCCACTGCCATCAAATCAGTTACAACTCATAGCAACCTTTTAGAACAGAGTAGAACTGCTCCATAGGGTTTCCAAGGCTGTAAATCATTACAGAAGCAGACTGCCTCATCATTTTTATACTGCAGAGCAGTTGGTGGGTTTGAACTATCAACCTTTTGGTTAGCACCCAAATGCCTTAACCACTATACCACCAGAGCTCCTTGACTAATATTTATAGCAGCTCTATTCATACCAGCCAAAAGCTGAAAACAACTGATGTCCTTCAATCAGTGAATGGTTACTAGTGAATGGTCCATTCATACTCTGGAATACTACTCAACAATAAAAAGCAACAAACTGTTAATACAACAACTTAGATGAACCTCCATGGAATTATGCTAAGCGAAACAAGCCAATCCCCAGAGATTATTGTATGAGTGCATTTAAATAACACCCTTGAAATGGCAAGAATTATAGAAATGGAGACCAGATTAGTGGTTTTCATGGTTTAGGAACAAGGAGGTGGAGAGGGAGGAAGCTGGAGGGACCTGGGTGTGATTACAAGAGTAACATGAGAGAAAGATACTTATGGTGATGCCACTGCTCAGTGATTTGGTTATGGTAGTAGATACATGAACCTACACTTACCAATTTATCAATTGCATAGAACTAAATTACATACAGACTCTCATACACAGATGAGTACAATCAAAACTGAGGAAATCTGTACAAGATGAGTGGATTCTACCAGTGTCAATATCCTGATTATGCTACTGCACTATAGTTTTATAAAATGTTACCATTGGTGAAAACTGTGTGAAGGGTACCTGGGATCTCTCTGTACTTTTCTTACAAATTCATGTGAAACTACAATGGTCTCAGTATAAAAAGTTTAATAAGAAATTATAGTCATGACAGGGTTCAGAGCCAGGGTGGTAAGAACCCATGCCATCAGTGTTCTGGGAAATTGATGTTACTCATGTTTGTGAGAATTGGCAAATTGACTCTCTTTCATTGTTTTGATACTTCTCCCAGTGATCATGATGCCTGCAGAGCAGGTGGAGGGCTGGGAGTATGAACAGAGCACCTTGTACCTAGAAGTGACAAAAGGGGTGGGTTGGGTGGACCTCCCTCCATACTAAGATTTGATCATATTTCTCTGGACTACAGTCCCCAGAAAATGGCACAACAGCCTCCTTCAGAGCAAGGGTAGAGAACAGAAATGGGTCAGTCTCACAGTACTGTCGTACCTGGCCCGGAGGCTAAGCCCAGATGCAGCCTTTGCTCATGCAACCTTGGCCGTGACTGGCTTGAGTTTGGGACTTTGCTGAGGTCGATGGAATGAGTACATTGGCAAGCATGCTGGAAACAGCCCAGGGTAACCAGATTATTGGCAGACTGCATCTCTGGCAGCATCAGCCTGAAGCTAAGGCTTGTTCTTCAGCTTCATGGCAGGTGGCCAGTGATGGCTGGGAACCTGAATCTTGGCTGTTCAACTCTTTCTGGGAAGATTTTCTTTCTAGAGAGTATGTGCTCCAATTGCAAAGTCAGGAGATGTCGATGCATGATGGTTTTCTTTTCTTTGAAGTTGTAGGACAGTCTCATCTGGATAGCAACATTGAGGATCAAGAGATTGTCACTAATCCACCGGACATTTGCCAAGTTGTGGAGGTGACCACTGAGAGTGATGAGCAGCCGGTCAGCATGAGCGAGCTCTACCCTCTGCAGATATCCCCTGTGTCTTCCTATGCAGGTGAGCTGGCCGGGAGGGACATCTCTGAACTGAGCACGGAGGGAGAGTGTTCCTTTAGTCTAGAGCCTCCAGCTTTGCCAGGCAGCAGGGAATTTCACTCTCCTCTGTCCTAGGGATTATTCTTGCTTTAGTTTTCTGGACCAAGGTCTTTCTTTTGAACACTTTTTGTGCCCAGTTACAAGACATGGGCACAGTGTTTCTTTACTTGATCATGTAACACTTCTGTGCGTGACTAACAAACAAATAATAAGATTTCTATGGGAAAACAGTTTATTTTCACTGCAACATATCAGAAATCCTGCAGGGTGTTTTTTAATGGTGTTTGACCGAGCTGGATAAAGCTTGCAGATCATCATTTCCAATGCCTTCAGTTTTACAAGTGAAATGATTTGCCCAGAGTCACACAGCTTGTAAGTGTTTGGGCTAGAACTTGAACTCAGCCTTCAGACCCCATGCTCATTTCTAGATCTATTCTATTACACCGAGTTTACTTGTCACTTCCATGTATTTTCTCCTCTTTTTTCTACTTCATGCAGCTTCTTAATTGAGCCAGGTGTCAGAACCCATTTCTATTTCCCCAGGGAAGGTCACATAGTTGCAAGAATTGGCCCAAACACTGTCAAAGGATTATAACCAGATTTGATTGTTTTTCCTTCCTTACAGAATAAAGTGATGGAGCCTTTTTTCTATCAATGTCACATTGTTACATCATTTCACATGTTCTTCCTGGTGATCTCTATTTAATTTTGGGGACTCTTGCATAATTAGGAAACATAAATTTTAAGTCAGTGTTATTGCTTTCAGATATTAAAAATACAAAAGCAGAGGCTGTATCATGGATAACTACAGTCAGGAGTCCCCTGGGTGGTGCAGATGATTAATACTGTCAGCTGCTGAATGAAAGATTGGAAGTTTGAGATCATCCAGAGACACCTTGGAAGAAAAATCTGATGATCTACTTCTGAAAAATCAGCCATCAGAAACCCTATGGATATATGTGTGTGCATATATCCCTGTGTCTGTATGTGTATACCACCACTCATCAGTCAGTTTGTCGTACTGTGATAGCTTGTGTGTTGCTGTGAAGCTGGGGGCTATGACACTGATACTTCAAATACCAGCAGGGTCACCCGTGATGAACAGGTTTCAGCAGAGCTTCTAGACTAAGACAGACTCAGAAGAAAGAATGAAAACCTTATGAATACCAGGGAAACACTGTCTTACATATTACTGGAAAACTTTGTAAATAGATGAAACAGTGTCTGACACAGTGGCTGTAACAATGGACTCAGGCATAGCAAGGATTGTGAGGCTGGCGGCGCAGGACCTTGCAGTGCTTCGTTCTGTTGTACATAGGGTCACTATGAGTCGGAGCCAACTTGATGGCACCTACAAACAATGACATGTATATATATATGTGTGTGTGTGTATATTATATACATATATATTCATATATGTACGTAATAAAGCACACAGGGGGCACAGTTATGAATACTACTTAGATATAACTGAGCACTTTGTGGGATTGGTTTTCTGAGTTTGAAGCTTTAGGATTACAGTCTCATGGAACAACTAGGTCAGTTGGCATAATATAGTTCATAATGTTTATGTTGTACATCCTAGTTTGGTGAGAAGTGTATGGGGTTTTAAAAGCTTGTGAAAGACCGTGTAAGATGTAACTATCGGTCTTCTCGTCCAGAGCAACACAGAAAGAAGAAAACCAAAGGCTCAGAGAAGAAACTCGTTTTTTTACTGAAGTTTCTTCTCTGAGTCTCATCTGCCCTGGGACCAGACCTGGATGGTACGTGGCTGTCACTAATGACCATTCTGATCAAGGGCACAAGAGATGGATCAAGATAGAAGGGGAGCACACGTGCAACAGAACTTAAACTCTTAAAAACTCCGGACTTAATGGACCAGTTGAGACTAGAGGACGCAAGACAGTCACCCTGAGATATTCCATAAACCTTGAACCAAGGCTGCCCTGAGGTCACCTTTTAGCTAAATAACAGATAGACTCAGAAAATAAAGAATATTACCAGTGAGTACTGTGTAACTTTAAGAAATCATCATGTGACCACATGGTCAACAGTTACTCTTAAGCAAAGATGAAAGAGTAAGGAGTCCGGGAAAGCAGATTAGTGGAAAGGAAGCATCCAGGATGGAGTTAATGAGGGGTGAAAAATATAACCAATGTCACTGAACAATTTGGGTGGTAATTGTTAAATGTTTTCTGTGTAAATTCTCACTACAAACAATAAAATACTATTAAAGAAAGCTATGAGACATAGTTCTCTCCTGACACACATGGGGTTCCAGAAGTCAGAATTGACTTAATGGCAGTGGGTACAGTCAGCTCTCATGAATGGCTCAGGGGTTCTTCCCAGGGTACTTTGTATGCTGCCTTTTGGAGTGTCGTGCAGTTAGGGCTCCACCCCTGTGACTGACATAAAGTCAGCATTAGAATTATATTGACTCAAGTGACCGTTGCTGGTGAATTATCAACCACTAAACTAAACCTCGTGGCGTAGTGCCTAAGGCATTTGACTGCTAACCCAAAGGCTGGTGGTGCAAACCCACCAGCCACTCCTCAGAAGGAAGATTGGGCAATCTACTTCCATAGTGATACCACCTCAGAAACCCAAGGAGGGGTTGCTATGAGTCAGATCCGACTCGACGGCAGTGAATTTGGTTTGGGTTTTGGTAAACTAAGCTAAAGAAGCTCTGGTGGTGTAGTGGGTAAGGAATTTGGCTGCTGACTAGAAGGTGGGCCGTTCAAACCCACCAGCTGCTCTGTGGAAGGAAGATGGGGCAGTCTACTCTAAAGATTCACAGCCTTGGAAACCCACTGGGTTTCAAGGAGTCAAAATGGACTCAATGGCAGTGAGTTTGGTATTTTTTGGGGGGGGCAGGGTTTAAACTGACCTAGTATTTCCAGTACTTCAACTTTTTTTTTTATACTAAGACCATAAAAGGAAAATGAGAACAAACCTTGGCTATAAGAAGCTTATAGTTTGTCAAATAGAAGAAGCTTGTCATCACTTGTGTGTTCAACAACCCTATTTTGAACACCTTGTAGTGCCTAAGGCATTTGACTGCTAACCAGAAGGTTGGTTGTTCAAATCCAGCAACCATTCCGTGGAAGGAAGACTGGGGAATCTACTTCTGTAAAGATTTACTACCTCAGAAACCCAAAGGGGGTTGCTGTGAGTTAGAATCGACTTGATGGCAGTGAGTTTGGTTTTGGTTTTTATGTGTGGCAGGTCCTTTGCCAGCCCCCAGTAATAACTATGATTTGTTGCATGTTTCTCATGCCTTGGGAACTGTGCTAAATATTTGGTCTTGATTGACTTCTTTAATTCTTATGAGAATAACCCTGTCAGCATGGGGGCCGTTATTATCCAATCTTTAAAACTGAGGACTCCAAGGGAAAGCAGTGTGTTGAGGGACAAGCAACGCGTAGCACAGATAGACCCCATATGTAACTGATGCCAAAGCCCTATTCTTAAGCCCTTCACTGTTACACCGCTCTGAGAACTGCACCAGGCTTGGCTGCTCAGAATACTTTTCTCACATGTGGTCTCATTTGATTTTCACAAGAACCAACCAAAGGAGGCAGAACATAATGTTTATGCCTTAATTTTACAGTTGAGATATTTGAAGCTTGAAACACTAAGCCATTTTGCCTGTGTTTACATAGCTGTGGCTAAAATTTTGCGATTCTTTCTTCTACATCATGCTGTTGCAGGCATTATTACACTCCATGTACTTTTTTTTTTTTTTTTTAAGGCTTGGGGCTTTAGAATAGACTTTTCTGTTTATCTGTTGAGTAAGATTTTTCTGTCTTCTTGGGGATTTTGGAAGGATCTCTTCTTGCTGTCCTGCCAGCAGTGGCATTTTGCTTTAGCAGAAGAGTGTCACGAACAGCTGATCCATGCTGAGAGAGATGAAAATTCATTACCCCTTTCAGGACATTTGCATAGATTTGAAAAGAAGGATTTTAGTGCCAGGATAGAGGCCACCACCCATTTTCATCTAGTTGATTCAGTCTCATAACAGGCCTTATAAGGTTTCCAAGGCTGTAAATCTTTATGAAAGCAGACTGCCTCATCTTTCTTCTGCGATGGGTTCAAACCACCAACCTTTTGGTTAGCAGCCTAAATCATTGTGCCATCAGAGCTGCTTAGGATGGCAGGCACTGGGAGGTTTTTCTGGAACCTGGCATTTCCACCGGCCCTTCGGTTCTATCAGTTTTTTTTTTTTTTCCATGTGTTGCGTTCTCCAAAACATTTTTTTTTTTTCCTCCAAAACATTTTTGGGGAAGCATATTGGAAGAAGCCAAAATGTTCCTTCAGTGTTGCTTTCCTAGAGCTTATGAGCAAGAACTTTATCTGTTGCTAACAGAGCTGCCAGCCAGTTCATTCCAATGAACAATGTTGTCTGAGGATTTACACTCCTACTCCACATATACTGAATCAGAATCTACATTTTAACAAGATCCCCAGGTGATATGTCAGATTCTGATTCAGTATATCTGGGTTGGAAATGCTAATTCTAACCAAGGGACAAACCGGGATGAACTGATTTGAAGCCCTGGTTACTGACCATGGCAGTTTTAAGTTTTTTAGTTAGTATCTTAATTATCTGGTGCTGCTATAACAGAAATACCATAAATGAGTGACATTAACAAACATTTATTTTCTCACAGTTTAGGAGGCTAGAAGTCAGAACTTACAATGCTGGCTCTGTTGTTGTTGTTAGGTGCCATTGAGTGAGTTCCAACTCATAGTAACCCTATCCTGTACCATCCTCACAAGTGTGTGTGTGTGTATGTGTGTGTGTGTTTGAGCCCATTGTAGCTACTGTGTCAATCAATATCATTGAGGGTCTTCCTGTTTTTTGTAAACCCTCTACTTTACCCAGCACCATGTCCAAAGTATGTGAGATGAAGTCTCACCATCCCCACATCTAAGGAACATTCTAGCTTACTTCATCCATGA